TGCTGCTGCTGCTGCTGCTGCTGCTGCTGCTGCTGCTGCTGCTCATGTGCCTCTTTCTTAGCTTCACCATCCTGCCTCCTCAACCACGTGACCAGCAGAGCAGCTGCTACCTACCCCAGTGCTCACATAGTGGGTCCCATGGGAAAACTGCTTACATCTGCCTCTGCTCGTTTGCTCATCAGTGCCCCTTGTGGGGGTGGAGTTGTAGTGTTTTCAGCTACGAAAACCACAAATCGCTTTCTGTGTTTGTCCATGTGTTGGGGCTGTTTGCCTCCCGTGGCCTCGCACGTGAACACTTTCTAATAAAACCTGTGTTTTGTGCCTGCTAGATGACAAGTAATTGTCATAGGATTTACACTGTACCTACCCAGCAAGGCAGCTGGAATTCTTAAGATTTGAGAGGCTGCTGACATATCAAAGTGAAGGAAACGGACAGAGGGAGGCTTCCTCTGGATTCCCCAGTGGCTTATGGAAACTGTGTTTCTGATGAAGCGCCATTTTTATTCGGAGCCTTTTGGTTCTAATGAGTTTTGGTGTGGGATCCTCTAAAACATTTAAAATCAGTTTCTTCCCTTGCTGTGCTGCTTCATGGCTTCATTTGATCAAGTGTTAATTTAACTGCTTTGTTTCAGCCAGGCAGGCTTCCCTTATTAATGATATTGTTTCTATCTAGGACATTCTTCCTGGTACAGATTTTTCATTTTCTTGGCTATATATTTGAAGGCTGGTGGTGGAAAAGGCAAAGGTATTACTGCTGAAATCTGTCCCCAAGGTCTTTTATGGTACATCCTCTGGAATATCGTTAGTGTCTTGAGTTTACAGTTTCTTCTCTCTTAAGATGTCTGTTTACAAAGAGAGACCCTCAGAATATAGTTTTTCCTATTTTCAGTTGTTCACCAGAAGTGTATTGACTTGGGGGTTTTAGCAAATAAGACTTACCCCTCTGTGCCAATGACTGGTGGGCTACTCTGTTTGGATATGCCCCGTCCTTAGCAAGTAACCTGTAGGCAAATTGTTTAGCCACAGAATTGTTAAGCCTGAGTTTGTGTTCAGCACTACTTTTTGACCTATCTCAAGTAGACGTCATCCAAACACAAACAGCTTTTCATAATGTTAAGTCCTTTTGTAGCCAGAGCTATTTGTCTGGATCCCTTAAAGTCTACATTTTGACCTCTTTGAGCCTAGGGAAAGGGGAAAACAAGAAAGGAAAATAACTGATACCACTGGAATGATACCTCTTTGACTTTACCTAATTAAATGAAATTAGAGGGGAGAACTCTTTGTGCCATGATTACCCTTTTGTTTTATGAAGGTGTAGGGCTGTTTCTCAGTGTCCGTGAGTCAGTGAAAGCAGTCGGCCCAAATGGGATGGATGAAGTGGATATAACATAGCCTTAATAAAGGGATTAGAGTTGGGTAATGGGCTGCAGGTTAGAAAGAGATGTTCTTGGCAGTCCAATAGATGACCATGAGACTGACATTAAGGATGGGCCATTTTAGTAGCAGCCTTACTGTGGACTGGGCAGAACATCTACTTTCTGCTTTGGCAAAGTCATCAATCACCACAGCAGTGAAGAAACGAGGTGTGGGAATTTATGTGAGAAAATAGAGGGGATTGTTTCTCCTCCTTTGGCTTCTCCTGAGAAGAAGTCAAAAAGCAGACTGTGATCAAAGGCTTAGGTGAAAAAATGAACCAGAGGGTTCTGTAAATTATGGAGAGAGGTTAAAAAAAATAAAGGGAAGATCGATACACATCATTAATAAAGGGAATAGGTAACTTCTTTCTCTGCCACAAGAACACCTTAGGCTGTACCATAATTAACATTTTTTTCTTTCTTTGCCTGGGGCCAAGCACCTAGTAAGTAGCATTGATGGAGGCTCATCTCCATGGTACTTCTTTGCTGTATTTTGTTTTTCTATCTTTGGACTATCTTGATCTGAGTATGACTTCCTTTACAATGGTGTTTGATGCTTTTAGGACCTTAATTCTGGATCTATTCCCCATAATGTATTCAGCTCAACTACATTTGCCTCCTTCTCCTGTCGAAAGCCATAGCTCTCAAGAATATTTTCTGTGTACAGTATCATAGGGAGCCTGATCAATGCAGAGGGGAAAAAAAGAGTGATGTTTTGTAAGTAATTGTATTTTTTTTAACTCATCAATATAAGTATTTATAAGAATCTATATTTTTCAGAGTCATACCACAATGATTTGTACTTTTTTTCTTCTCTTGGAGAACAGGTTGTCATGGGATACAGAAGGGTCCCTTCTAGCTGTTATTTTTCCAGATTAATAAATGGGACATGGTCTTGGGGTTATGTTATTAAAATACTAATTTCCTTTAAAAAAAAGAAAACCACAGCATTTTCTTTCTGCCAAAGTCTTATGTAGGTTTATACTTGGCAGGGACAGGTAGGTAAAAAGTGAAAGCATCTGTTTTACATTAGGTTCCAAATTGAAGTGACTCAGGTTAAGTTCATTCAGATTGAATGTGGGCCTTCCTGACCCCATAAACAAAGATTTGTCACCTTAGATTGTTTTAGGGTTGAGGCTCCTGGGGGAACGAAATTGTCTTGAAAAGAAACACAGGTCTTGGCATGAATGTTAACTTCATCAGTAATGCCAGAGTCCAAAGGAAAATTTTCCTCCATTGGTGTTTAGTCTATCAGTTTCTGTCTGTGTGTTGTTAATCTGTTCAGAGTTGTTTTGGCTTTTATCATTTAGCCAAATAAATGCAAAGTGATTTTAACCAGTGTTCTCATCCCATGTGGTTTTGACTTTGTGTGGTGATATATTTGTTTGGGGGGAGAGGGAAGTGGTACCTATCTTCACCTTTCCCTTTCCATACTAGAACTCTTTGTTCCTAATTTGTGTTATCATATTGTGCAAGCTGGATAACTGTGTATTGTTTCAGGGACAATCTTGTTATAGCCTGAGAGGGAAGCTTCACCAAATTTTTGCTGCACAGAAATGATACCTAGCCCTAGTGTCTAGATAATGCTTTTGTAGTTGTATAGCAAAAGGCATAGTTTCCATTTTCATTTTATTCTTACCCCACAGTCTGATTTCTTTAAGGCTTTGGGCATGGCTAAATTGTATTAATTATGTGCAGTTTCAAGGGATCTGTTGCATTCTGGCAAGACTAGCAAACTTATTTTTCATTTGCTTTGGGCTGTGTTCCAGATTGGTTATGGTGACATTTTATGTACAAGTGATCTTTTGAGTATTCTGGCTTTAGGTTGGATTGAGACCTTTATATATGCTGCTCTCTATCCCCCAAAACAAAACCCTTACATTTTCAGAGTTTAAAACCCCATCATTTAATTTTTTTTATAAAATAAAATATTTTCTTCCTTCCCCGCCCCCACCAACACTTTCTCATGTTACAATATTCACCTTAATCTCTGTAGTTATTTGCAGCCTATATAATGACAGTAAGAATGTCCTTATTCTTGTCACATCTGGACTAGTGAAGAAGGATCTTTGCATTTTTGTTGGCTCCAGCCATCGTTTGGGAGAGCCAGTCTGGGTGTGTTCAAGCTTCGGTTTCAGAGGATGGTTCCAGAAAAGAGAGAGGTTCAAACCCCAACTTATCGTCTCGCTTCCGATAGAATATTCTTGTCAGAACAGTTAACAGTGAGGTCTGTACTACCAAAAGGTGGCAGTTCATCACTACAAAACATCACATGGATCAAATTGAGAAACAAAGGCAGTATCTGTCTAAGTAGCCTGTTGAAAGGATTGTTGTTCAGTCATTTCAGTCATGTTCAACTCTTTGTGACCTCATTTCATGTTTTCTTGGCAAAAATATTGGCATGGTTTGTCATTTCCTTCTCCAGCTCATTTCAGAGATGAAGAAACTGAGGCAAACAGGCTTAAGTGACTTGCCTGGGGTCACACAGCTAGTAAGTGTCTGAGGGCAGGTTTAACTCAGAAAGATGAGTTTTCCAAACTTCAGGCCAAGCGCTCTATCTACTGAGCCACCAAGCTGCCCTGTTGAGAAGGATTATTCTACATTTCTGTGATATTTCTCTGCACGATTTCCTGGGATTACCAGTTTAGGCCTGGTTGATACTAGTGCATCTAAGTCACCTGAAAGTGAGTTTAAACCTTACTCATTCGGTAAACCAGACTTATTACCAAACTGTGATATTACTGGAGATGGGTTGTCTAAAATCCTAATTACTGCTTCTGGCTACGTTGACAGCGGGGCACCTAGGTGACTCAGTATATAGAATGCTGGGCCTGGAGTAGGGATGATGCATCTTCCTGAGTTCAGATCTGCCCTCAAACACTTACTAGCTGTGTGAACCTGGGCAAGTCACTTAACCCTGTTTGCCTCAGTTTCCTCATCTGTAAAATGAGCTGGAGAAGGAAATGGCAAAACACTCCAGGATCTTTGCCAAGAAAACCCCAAATGAGGTCACAGGGAGTCTGACACAACTGAAAAATGACTGGATAACAAGATATAGACAGCAATGCCCAAGAATAATAAAAAATTATGCCACCCTGTATTTGCATAGTACTACAATAATGATGTTGATAGAACAGATAATATCTCCATCTTAGAGATCAGGAAGTGTGCCTAGAGAGTTTAAGATTGTTCAAGGCCAAAATAAATTAGAGATGGAATCAGGACTAGCGTCCCAAGTCTCCTGGCTATTAGTCTAGTCCTCTATGACTCCAAGATAAGTTTTATGAGGATATTAAAGAGAATGTTTATGGTGCAACTATGGATAAGCTATCTTATTACACAATACATCTCTGTTAGCTTGACCTTCTCTTTGATGAGAATACTTATTCTTACCCCAGAGATTATGTGGTGGAAACTGTAACAGTCATAGACTCCTTGAATACTCTCCTTGTTTGGGCATGATAGCTAGTCTCAGACTGTTAGGTTTTAATTTTCTCTCCCTATGTAAGGCAGAGGGGTAGAGGATCAAGGTGGCTTTGACCTCTTAAAGATTCTCTTCTTCGACAGTGAGCATCTGTAGGGGTTTGGGATAAGCTGAGAATGCCTCTGCCTTTTGTTTGTTTGCCTTTTTCCTGTTCTCCCTCCCCCACCCCCTAGCCGTCCTTCAGTAAGTGCGTTAAGGGTTTGTAGATACTCACCTTGGGACCTGATTTTAGAGGAGAAGGGTGGAGAACAAGCAATCTGTCCAGCACTGGCCAGTATGGAGAAGATAGCGGGTTGCAGGGCAGTTAGTACGAGGAGCAGCTGGGAATGAGAGCAGAGTGAGAGTGCATCCTAGAATGTGGTGCTGTGTTTGGGGAAGAAGTGTATTTAGAGGAGAGAGACTAAAAGCAGTGAGTAATCTGGAGATCATGTCATGGGACATCAGTTGAAGGAACTTGGAGAGAAGAAGACAGAGGGACATGCCATGTGTCTTCACTGTTGTATGGAGGGAGAAACTTGTTCTGCTTGTCTCTGAAGGGCAGAACAAGGAACAGTAGGTAGAAATTGCAGTGTTAGGTTTAGGCGTAATGTAAGGAAGAACTTTAAAACTGTAGATATCCAAAAGTGGCATGTGTTGTCTTGAGGGTTAGTTCTGTCACTTGAAGTCTGCAAATAAAGACTAGATGACCACTTACTGGAGACCAGATGATTCTTTTAGTCCTTTCCAAATGAGATTTTGTAATTCTACATGAAGAGAGCAGAGGCCCTGTGATTTCCTAATGTGAGGATAGGTAGCCTTTTAGGTTTTCATTCGTCTTTTTCATTGTATATAGGTACAACCATGCTTATATTGCAAGGATAGGAGAATAAGGGACTCAGATATTCAAAATCCTTGTGTACTAGAAAACCTCTTAGTATGGTTTTCAACCTCTTCCCTCATCAAACATTTGACCAGAACTGCTAATCAGGAGCAATATGTATTGATTCAAAGCTCTTGAAACCCTGACTTAGCTGGAGGTGTTAATGCATAAACATCAAAATGGGCAGTCGGGAAGAACAGAGCATAAAGTTTGAATTGACTAATCCGTTGATTAATGAAGTCAACCAACACTTATTAAGCACCTGCTTTCCAAGTGTTATATATAATATAATCTTCATTACCTCTGCCTCGTTTACCCCTCCCTTTGCTCCCATCCATTAACCCCTATTTATCCTAGAGATGTTACAAGGTACCAATTTTCTTAGTCAGCTTAGTCAAGAGCAGGTTCTGAGTTTTCCTCTATTCCTTTGTGCTAGTCATGGGCAGGATCTCACAATCACAGTGTATTTCCTCATATGACCTTGGACTGCAAAAGGAAGTTGATTTTTTTTTCCTCTAAGGACATTATTCAGTTGAACCTCTGTTATATGTCTGGCATCATATCTAGAGTTTGCTGGATATAAAAAAAGTATAAACACGATGTCTGCCCTTAAGAAAATTAGAGTCTGGTTGGGGAAATAAAGCTACTTTATGTGTATTAATCAGAGAATGCTATTAGGTATTGTATACAGAAATACTCAGATGACTCTGATCTCATTAATTTGTAAGTCCCAACAATGCAGCTGGCCATCCTTCCATGTCTGCTTATCCTGTGAGACATTTCCTTAATTTCACTGGTTACTGAGTGATTACCAGTAGACCACTCTGGCTGTTAACCTGTCATCCTTTGCCCTTGCCCCTTGCCCAATCCATCTTCTTCTATCATTCAATTCCTTTATGTATTTTGTTCCCTTTTGTTGAAGTTCCACATTGGTTACATGTTACAGGCTCCTTAGAAAAATTGCTCTTTGTGTGTTTTAAGTTTTTTGAGAGTTGGTCTCCCTACCTCACTCAGGCTAGAAGTGAAGCCATAGGCCCAATCCAGTACCGCACAGTAGGGCCTGGTGGCCCTTAGCTCTCAAGGCCCACCATATTGGTGCCAGGCTGAGTGGATACCTGATTAGGTTAACTGTACTATCGTTCGTAACTCCCAAATCAAACAATCCACCAGCCTCAGCCTTCCCCAGTAGCAGGGATTACAGGTATGTGCCACTACATTCAGGTCATTTTCAGTTCTCTAGAAGCCATTGTATTCTATGGCTCACTACTATATGGTACCAACTAACTACATATTAGTTGTTATTGGTGGTGTTCAATCATCTCAGTCATGTGTATCTCAAAGCTGTATATTTGTTGTCCAATCATTTTGTCATGCCTGACTCTTCATGATTCCATTTGGGGTTCTCTTTGCAAAGATACTGGAATGGATTGCCATTTCTTTCTCCAGCTTATTTTACAGATGAGGAAACTGAGGCAAAATGAGTTAAGTGACTTGCCCAGGGTCACACAGCTAGTAAGTGAGGCCAGATTTGAACTCAGGAAGATGGTCTTCTAACTCCAGACCCATCACTCTTATCTACCGTGCCACCTAGCTGCCTGTAATAGGATATAATTATTAAACATACCCCAGATATGTGCATGATAAAAGATGTAGGCTGTTTACAAAGTAAGAACTTAATATTGGTTTGAATTGTTGTGAATAATTGTGAATTAATGTTTGCGGTGGGCTTTGAAAGACAGCTAAGATTTGAATAGGTGGAGAGGAGCAGTAGGGCCTTACAAGAGCACTAGCAGCTGGGGTGGGGGGGAGGGGTTCTGGGAAAGGACTCCTGCAAAAAGTGGGAATTGAGCAATCTTGAAGCCAGGGAAACTAAAGAGGTGGAGGGAAGGGGGCCGAGTGTCCAAGACAGGGGGACAGCCAGTGTAAAAATATCCATGCAGGAGATGGAGTGTCTTGTTTAAGGAACTGTAAGTAGGCCACTGTAGCTGGATTGGAGAGTGCATGGAGAGGTATAAACTGTAAGAAGACTGGAAAGGTAAGAAAAGGCCAGATCATGAAAAGCTATTGTTCTGCCAGACAGAGGATTTGATATTTAAAGCTGGAAGTAATAGGGAGCCACTGGAGTTTATTGAGCACGGGTAGGGGTGGAGACATGGTCAATTCAGTACTTTAGGAAGATCACTTTGAGACCTGAGTGGAAAATGGACTAGAGCAGGCAGAAACTTGAGGCAGGGAGACTGGTTAGAAAGCTATTGCAATAGTCCAGGCAAAAGGAAAAGAGGGCCTGCACCAGTCTGGAGGCTGTAAGAATGGAGAAGGGGGGGTATATATAGGAGATGTTGCAATGGTAGAAATGACACAACTTGGCAATAATTTGAATATGTGGGGTGAGGGAGAGTGAGGAGCCTAGGATCACATTGAGGTTTCAAGCCTGAGTGATAGGAAAGATGGTGGTGCCCTTGACAATAATAAGAAAGGAAGGGAAGAGGGTTTTGAGGGGAGGATAATAAATTCTGTTTTGGACATGTTGAGTTTGAGATAAATATAGGACATCCATCTCGAGGTGTCCAAGAGGAAATTGGTAATGTATGATTGTAGCTCAGGACTAGGGCTGGATGTATAGATGTGGGAGTTATCTCTATGGAGATGATAATTGAATCCATGGGAGCTTATGAGGTCACCAAATAGAGAGTGAAAAGAAAAGAGGATCCAGGACAGAACTTTGGAGGATACCATATGTATTATTTTGTATTTTAATTATTTGTATGTGTATTTTGTATCCCATAATTGTAAACTCTGTGAGGAGGGACTGTATCTTAACTAAGCTTCTCCTCTAGCACCTAGAACAATCTTCTGCATGTGGTAGGTGCTTAATAAGTGTTTTTTGTATTGTATTAACCTGCATCTGAGGAGATGAGGTTATAGATTAGAGCAGTAACATTGGAAACAGAATAAGACATGAGAAATTAAAAATATTATAAAGGAAGATGTGACGGTCAGAGTTAGGGAGTGGGGGATGACTAAGAGGAGGGTTAAAGATAATTCAGAAGTTCTAATGGATAAATGGGAAGATGATGGAAAGAAAAAGGGAATTTACAAAGGAGGTTCCATTTTTGAGTAGTGGCAGGGTATCCAAGTGGAGACATCTTGAACTCAGATGGGGTTATAAAATTACTGGTCAGGTCAGAGAAATGATGGCTAGAAATCTAGAAGTCTGAACACTGACAGCTGGAGACCATTCTGAAGCAGGTTACTAGAAATTATTATGCCATATTGAAAGCAACTGAATGAACTGGAAACCTGGGGAAACATGACAAGCTTGCTTCCAAGCATTTGAAGGACTGGAATTGTAGAAGAAGGGCAGTTAGGAGGTACAGTGGATAGAGCGCCAGACCTAGAGTCAGGAAGACCTGAGTGCAAATCCAGCTGCAGACACTGTCACCATGGATAATCACTCAACTTTGCCTCAGTTTCCTTATCTGTAAAATGAGCTGGAGAAGGTGATGGAAACTACTCCAGGATCTTTACCAAGAAAACCCCAAATGGGGTCATGAACAGTCTGACACAGCTGAAAACAACTGAACAACAAAACAGCAAATATTCAAGGCTGCTGTCTCTGCATATCATGGTACTCTATGCATGCTTTTGCCCTTCAACGTTTCCTTACACTTTTAACTTCTTACCCCTTTTCCCTCTCCCTGATTCTTCTCATTTTTGACTCAGTTGAGAACAGATTAATTTTCTGGCTCCCCAAACCTAGAGGAGCCCTAGGGATGCCCAGAATTCCTTTTGGGAAATTTGGGGCTAAGGTCAGAGTTTTACAGCTTGGGATACTGTTTTTCTCAGGTGATAGAACTGACAGCATTTGTGCATTTAGATGCAGTTACCTGAAAAGCAGCGAATTTGCCTCCAATGTTCTGAGCGCCGAGGTGTAACTTGGCCTGGCGGAAGAGGATGCCCAGGGCCCAGAGTGCCAGTAAGGTCAACACACCAAGAGCTACATTCATCCACATGGCTGTGCTTTCTTCAGAGATCTAGGTGGGTCAGAGAAGAAAGGAGTCGGTTGATAGGTGAGAAGGAAAAGGCCATAATGTCCTCTCCCTCAGCACACTATGATGTTGGGTCTTGTTTCCCCACATAAACCCCTACAACCTCTACTATGCTTCAGCCCACCAGAACAGGGAAGGGCCTCTACGTTATATTTACTCAACTGGAGACTGAGGGTGTGGAATGAGGCTCCTCTTGGGTTTTGTTTCCACTTTCTGGCCCTTTCCTACTTACAAGTGCCGGATCATAGATGCCATCAGGTACCAGCAGCAGGCCCAACAAAACAAAGACCATTTTGAAGAAGGCGTACTGGAATGGGGCCAGCATCAGCACCTGCAGCTTCTTCCTGAGGAGAAAGGGAGGGGGACGTTGGCACTGAGCCCACCTCTCCTTTGCTGCCCCATGAAGCCCTTTGGTCGTCCTTCGAGAAAGAGGACTACCATAGTGGCTGCTCAGTTTGTGTTATGTGGATCCTCTGTCTTCTGGGGCTTGAGACGCCATAGGTTGGTGGGAAGGAAACTGAAAAGAACTAAGACCTGAGTTCAAATTCTGGCTCAGACATTTACTAGCTCTCTGATTTTGAGTAAGTCATTCAACTATTCAGTCTCGGTTTCCTCATCTGTAAAATGGGATAATGCACGTATCTCACAGGTTGTTGTGAGGAACAGATGAGATAACATGTAAAGCACCTTACAAACTTGAAAGTGCTGTAGAAATACCAGCTGTCATTATTACAATACTGAGATGGCAGGGCACCCGTATTCAGGCTGCCATACACCCCTCACAGATGATAGCTGCTAGGCAAAATTCAGTGTTAAGGCCATTAGGTGGCATAGTGGACAGAGTGTTAAACCGGAGTCAGGAAGACCTGAATTCAAATTGGGCCTCAGATACTTAACTAGCAGTGTGACCCTGAGCAAGTCACTTAACCTCTTTCTCAGTTTCATCCCTTTTAAAATGGGGTTCACAGGACCTACCTCTCAGGGATTGTGAAGATTAAATGAGATAATAAAGTGCTTAGCACAATGCCTGGTACATAGTAGGTATTTAATAAATACTCACTCCCCTTCTCCTCCCCAAGGACTAAGGAGAATGGCAGAGATGAGCAAATGGAATAATTAATAGCCTGATCTGCATTGGCTAGCTACTGCTTGGAGGAGTCTATGGGGCTGGGATGGTGGGTGGGAGGTGGGGGCAGCCTCACAGCCCTGGTTCTCCCCTCAGTATGCTTCCACAGTAAATGTTCTAAATGAGTCAGCACCCTGCCAAAGCTTTTCAAAGCGTGGTTCTGATTCCCAACCTTTTCACCACTGGTATTGTCCCACCCTGAGCTATGGCTTTCCCCTGGTGAGTACT